CTACTTTTGTACTTAGACACTTTTGGTAACAAAGTTTTGCTTCAAATGTCTTTTAATCAAATTTTGAGGGTTGAGAAGTCAAAATCTTGTAAATGAAGTGTATGAGGCCATGGGCCATTGTTTTATATTCATTTAGTCATATCAAACTTGTTGACATGTTTACATTCTCAAAACTCATGAAAAATCAGTTTTATACATCCATTTTGAATTAAAGTATCATGGGATTCAAAGTTGAGGTAGTACCTTAACATCTTAGGCTCATAGCAGGTTCAGCAGCAGGTTTTCGAGGTGTTTCGATTGATCGATGTCAAATGGTTTTGTGTTTGCACAGTAACATCACATTCCAGTAGCCAAATACACTGTTCAGGGGTCATTCCGGTCGACCGAACCCTTATTTCGGTCTACCGAAGAAACACGAACCTTTTCTTCATGATTTTAGGTCCCAGCATCTTCATTTCGGTCGTCCAAAACTTCATTTCGGTCGACCGAAATAGCTAGAACCCGAGCCTAGCTTCTGTTGAGTTTCAGCACTGATCTTCCAACTTCGAAGGGTCATAACTTCTTGGTTTCTAATCCAAATGGGGTGATTCTTGAGCCTAAACTCAAGGATTTTGAGTCAGATTTCCAATGATACCAATACCATCCTCAGATTCCAAACACAATGGAAATTATTCATGTTTTAGTGATGTAGTATCCGTTTTCACTTCAACCGAGATAGGGTATTATGTGGGATTCTTAGCCAGTGTACATGGAACCTCTTGGATTGTTTCAAAATGACTAGATTAGGTTGTATTAACCTTGTTTGACTTGTTTAGAGTCAAGTTTCTTCTTTTAATTGTGAATTGACCATTTTGCCCCTTGGATGACGAATCTTGTTCTCTTTGACCTTTGATTCCATTTTTGCTCTCTTTAGGATCCGTGATCTCATAGATGGTCACATTGGTGTCTTAAGGGTGACTTCTATCTCTTAAGACCTTTATTTTTCATTTGCTTCCGCATTTCGGATCCATTATCGGATCAACTTTCGGTTCATCACTGACGCACCTGGTTGAAAAACTTGGACCGTCACATTGTCCATACACTTGGTGGCACTCTCCTCAGCCACTCATATGCTCTAACATTCATCTCTTTAATCTTGTGCATATGTAACTCAAAATCAGCTTCTGTGTATGATTGAGCTGCTTCCTAAACCTCATTTTTCATATTTTGTCCTCTATATTTTAGTTTGAAATTTTCACAGAGGTGTCTCACACAAAATCCGTGTTCAACCCCATACAGAATTGTATCAAAACTATCAACTAATCCCTTAAATTCAATACTGTATAATATATCCATCTACAATAGAAATCATGTACATATATAAATAATAGGAACAATGCACTATTTTCATACTTTAATATAAAGTAAGAGAGAGAAAAATAAACAACACTACATATACATATATAAAAAAGGGAACTTTTTCACAACATAATAATTCAGAAAGGGACCACTCAGTCACCAGTTTAAAAGGAATTAAAAATTAGATAACACTACATACTTTGTTGCTCGAATCTTTGAATACAGGAAGGGAACACAAACAAATAGAATCAGTGAATCTTACCAAACTGACAATATCATTTTATGGTTACAAACACAACTATAAAAAATAAAATACCTGCACCACCATTAACCACATATTTTTATTTTTTACAACATAAAAAGAAAAAGGAATACAATAAAGCAATTAGAACGGTATAGATATTTTACTACCATCCAAAATCACAAACAAAACTACAAAAAACAACTTTTGTAATGTTTCCAATTTTCGTAATTTTCTATTTTCTGAATTTTTTTTTAATTTTTTCGAGGGTATTTTTATTTTTTCTCGTTCTGTGTGCAGGACACCGTAGGATGTGTCGGGTGTGTCAGGGTATTGATTGGGATATTTTCTTGAATTCAGGACTCTTGGAAATGCATCAATTGCCATTTTGGCATTTTTCTGTTTTTCGGATCGGAAGGTTCCAGGTGGGACCCGCTTCGGGGTTGTTGTGCATGGTGGTTGTATCACGGGTCCATTTCATTTTATATATTGTTATTTTGTGCACATTTATTGGTTGTGTGGTTGTAGTTTAATTTGTGTGTGTGTGTGTGTGTGTGTGTGTGTGTGTGTACATTTTTATTAGAAAAGTGGGATTTTATAAGTGGTGGGACCCGCCCCTTTTGTGGTCATTACAAAATGACCTTGTATGGTCATTTAGTGATCATTTTCTTCAGCCCTCTCTCCCGCAGCTTTTCTCTCTCTCTATTTCTCTTTTTCTTTTCTTTTCTTTTCTTTTCTTTCACCAAAACAAGCTTGATTTAGCTTTAACCCTTAGGATTTTGATATTGCCGCTTAAGGCAAAGTTGACGAGCGCGACCAATGTTTTGATCGGAGCAAAGCTCAATTTGGCCACCATTGGGGATTTCGAATTCTAGGGTTCTTGGGCTGAAATTTGAGGCTTCTTATGGGTTTGTTCTTTAATTGAGGTAGGGGTTTTCCTAATGTCTAAGTTTTGATTCAATTTGAGCAAATTTCTATTACTTTTGATATATGTTGTAAATCATGAAATTAGATATAAACTTGTTGAGTTATGAATGTCTTTATATGTGTAAATCATGAGTTGTTTAAATCTTAAGTTGATAGCTTACCTAATTTTGTTATGTGTAAATTTTGATAATTCTTGAAGATGCCTGACTTAGGAAAAAGATGTCCTTATTGTGTTGATCTTTTAAGTATGCCATGGATATTACTTGACATTTATAAGATGAATTGATGATATTGTTGGTGCAATAGTGATGAACTTATGATTTGAGGTTGAAAATCATTACATTGCATACCATGGCATAAACAGGGGATTTGGAGATAATTTGAAAGGAAAATTTTGTTTTATTTAAAAAGTGAAATTTCTTTAAGGAAGGGAAGTGTTTTTTTTTTTAAAAAAAATGAACCGGATTTCGTGAGTTCAGGGCTAGCTTGACTTAGAGGGAGCGCGGCTCGGTGTAAAACGTGAAAAAGTTAATACTAGGCCCTTTAACGTTTGCCAGAATTGGAACGGGGATAGTTATCAATCTCGCCTCGGTAATGTCAGTTAGCAGGTTTTCGAAAGGTGAAAGATGGGTCGGTATAAACCAGGTTTGGGATGGGTGCATCATATTTTATAACATGCACATCATGTTGTAGAATTGTGTTGTGTGCTGAGTATGTTGTCTATAAGTTGTAAATGTTGTGTGGACTCCCATTGCATGACCTTGATTCCTTATCATTCCTTTATGTGTTACGTGGCTCAAGGGAGTCCAAAACTAACACTTTAAGCGACTTCTATTGAGCTTTATACTCACCCCTTATCTTCAACATTTTCAAGATACGGAAAAGGAACAGCGGACGATAATCCACCTCTAGCTTAGTCGGGTTGCAAGGGACTTGAGCTTTTGTTTGAGATCAATGTATATATATGTTACCTTTTGACGTAAATTATATTTAGTGACATTTGTATCTAATTCATGGGTGGAAATGGTCCTGAGACCATCCTCTTTTATTTTGTGATCTCATTATGATTTCGATATCCATATAAGGCATTAAGGCCATATTTTGATGTAAAATGAACTTGTTTAACTTCAAATGATGTAATGGACTCCTTTACGGTTTTAGTTGATTATAAGGATACCTACTTGTATTATTTTCATTGCAAAATATATAATTTGGGACAGGTTTGGACTTTGAATAAGGTCACCAAGAGACCAAATGGGGTGTCCATGTGCATGTTCACAGTTTTAGGCTTTTTCTGGGTTAAATTTTAAGTTCTGGTCATCTGAAACCGGTTCAGCCCCATTGAACTGGTTAAAGGGGTGTTTTTAGTTCATGGTTGGGCACACTGCCCATCTTGAACTGGTCCAGGGTCCTTGAACCAGTTCAAGACTTCCAGTGTCCACTTTTGCCATTTTATCCCCTAGTGTGTCCTCGGGTTCGGGTAAAGACCCGGTTAGCGATTCGGACCTTGGGTTTGGGTCGTTACAACTTTACTAATTGCATTTATTTTAACACATTAAATCAAATTTTAACGCACTTCCCACATATTTAATAGCTGACAAACACCATTATGTTTGTTGCACAAAACAAAGTATGAAACATTTATAGAGAGACAGTGTTGTGATAATAGACTAAAATCAAATATGAAATCATTTACAGAAATATTACTTTGATTACAGACCAATATCATACCCAATATTACAATTATTAAGTGATCAGGGTTTACCCTCGTGCGAGACATCTTGAGGATTGATCATCCAGTAGCAATGGAAGGAGTTGTGTTTTTTGAGATTGTGTTTCATAGTCAAACACGTAAAAAGGGATAAGTGAAGCTTATGCAGTGTTTGGCGCTAAAATGTGTCTTATACACATATGTTTGCCGCTAAAATGATAAAAGGGGTATGCGAGGCTTGTTGATAAGGTTGTGTTGTCAATATCCCATTGGTTGTTGAGATTACACTTTGACAAGTCAGTGATAAGGTGTGTGTTGTGGACATATCATTGGTTGCTGAGATTACACTTGCCAAGTCAGCAATATTAGCAACAATCACATTGAAACGACGTCGTTCTAATTAATGGCAATTTGGTAATTTAACTTTTTTCGGTGAGCTCCGATAAATAGATATTTCAATTTGTCCTTAATTTTCCCATTTTATATAGTTCAGGGGGGGCATTAGTTAGTTAAGGGGCTTTTGTTTTTTTTTTTGCTGAAAGTTCACGGGTTTATTGCCCTTTTATCTAAATTTTAATAACAAAGAGTAAAATAGTCTTTTGAATTTGTTCCAACAAATCAATATTTTAGGGGAATCTTGAATTCAAGGGTTAGTTGTAAAAAATCAATAATTTAGGGAGGGTTTTTTTCACTTTACCTTAATAATAATACAGTAATACTAAAGGTAAACGGGTTTGTTTGACGTAAAATCAAAACCGGTTCATAGCTGTTCAACCGCTTTGTCACAAATTCACAGTTTGTTTATATAGCCGTTGCCAGATTTCCTGAAATACCCTACTCACAATTCGCAAAAAAAAATCCTAGTCACAATTCGCTATTTTTCTCTGAAAAATCTCTCGAACGCACAACTCCTTCATTAACGCTCTTCTTTTCTCTCTCTCTCTCTCTCTCTCTCTCTAATTTTTAGTTTTGTTCATGTTTTGCTGGATTTCTACTCTTTCTATACAATTTTGATATATCACACACACACACACACACACACACATATATATATTATCTGTTCTGTTTATAAAACTTTTTTTTGGATGCAGGAATTGGTACGAAAATGTTGCAATTTCCTCTCTCCGATCAAAAACTTCAAGGACGCGTGAAAACGTATGTATTTCCATCTGCTTGCATCAACATTTAGCTTTCTGTTTTTAGTATAAATTCTTCAAAATTTTGTATGGAATTCCTTTTGATTTCATTTCTTTGGTTTATGTGTTCGTGAATTTCTTGGATTTTTGGATTTACTGTGAACTAGGGTTTCTTCTTCTTATGTTTGAATTTTTATATTTGTTTAGACGGTAGAGTGTGGTTTGCAATATTTTTAGAATTTTGTGGTTGACGTTACCATTAATTTCTAGGATTCTGATATTTTGTCATATAGGGTTTCTCTAGCATATTTTAGGTGGTCTATTTTCTATGATTTTGAATTCTCAGAAATTTATTGTTTATTTCTTCAACCTTTATTGATTCTGCACAACTATATCTTTTACATGATTATATGATTTTTTTAATTCATAGTCCTGTGGGTTTATTGGTTTGGATTTTCCTGTATAGTGGGATTCAACATGAAGATTCAGAGAAACACACAATATATATATATATATATTTTATTTGTTAAAATTTGGATATATAATGATCTATTGCAGTAGTTCTTTCCTTATTCAGAGAAACACACTCAATAATGTTTAGGACACACTCTCGGCTAAAGAATTGATATCATAATACCCTGCTTTGGGCTCTTCTTTTTCGGGAGATGGCCCTTGGACCTCATAATCAATAGGCCCCATAATCTCTTGAGACATGTGCAACCACAGCTCTTAACTCTTTAGGGGTTGCAATTGAAGATACCTTGAAAGAAGAGGGGGATTCAAATATGTTTGACAATGAAGCAATAGGTATAGCCATTTTAGAGCTCTCCTCTCTCAATTCGTCATTGGGGGAGGATCCACAACGCTTCTCCCTTGTTCCTTTATAACTTCCTCGCACTCATTCAGATTAGGTCTAGGAGACAAATTCTCCTTCATTCTCCATTTTTGTTTATGCTTATAGTGGGCTTAGAAGAGCAAGATTTAGTAGAATGACCAAAACATTCACAATCTAACATCTTTGGGGTTTCCTGGATCCTCCTCCTCCACCCTAATCTAAAAGATTCACAGAACAAAGGATCCTTGCTTTTAGAACAAACCACATCCTCTAAGTGTAGGACATATATTCCCCAAGTGGGTTTTCTTTCTTTCCTTTTTCTTCTTGTTGTTGCTAAGCTCTCATTCTTCTTCTTCTTCTTCTTCCCTTTTTTTTTTTTTTTCTGCATATGTACTGATAGCTTCTTTTAGATTGATTACTTTCTTGTTGACATGTGTTTGTTTGGTAATTTAACAGTATTTGAAGAGGACTCTTGAAGCTCCTAAGCTCCTAGATGGCTTTTATTTGAATTTACTGGATTGGAGTAGCAGTAACATTGTTGCTATCGCTATTGGAAATTCAGTATATTTGTGGAATGCTGCTAATGGGTCTACTTCTGAACTTCTTGTGACAGATGAGGAAATTGGGCCCGTGACAAGTGTCAGATGGGCACCAGATGGAGTGCATCTTGCTGTAGGTTTAAATAATTCCCACATCCAGCTGTGGGACCCTTCATCTGGTCAGATGGTAAGAGTTTTCTTTGAAGTATCTTTTTTATTTTTTATATTTTTTTTTATCTATCATTAATGCTTTTGTTTCTTTGAACAGATTATTGTAAGTAATTAGATGATGCATGGTGAAAAGTTGGCGTTTTATTTGACTGTTGTTCTGTGAAAAAAAAGATGACAAACATTTTTGGGTAGTTGTAACTTGTAAGAAACTCTTGTATATGTTGATGTTGTTTTTTTTTTTTTTGTTTTTGGGTCCTTTTTTGGTGAGTAATTTTATATTACTAATAAGATATACAATAAAATTCAAAACATGATCCCGGTGAAAGAAAATTTAAACCAGAGAGGAAAAAACCTTACAATAAAGAAAATGCCTACTCACACCTCGAGAGTTTAGTGGAAAGAAATATTTGACCTCTTATTTTCTGGGAAAAGAGGTCTTTGTTTTTTCATGAACTCGTGTTATCCGTGATATTTAGGTTCTAAGGAAGGATTAGGCTTTTGTCGGTTTCTCTAACTGCATTTTGTGTGCAAAAGAAAAACATAAAGTAAAAGTATATTTACATGCAACACAAGATGCGTCTTTTATATCCAATTTAACTTTTGATAAAGTTGGTAATTTATTTTACCTTCTATTTAGTTTGGAAAAGAACTAAGTCAGCTATAGTGGTGAACTGCAAGGTTGAATAAGGCATGTATCATTGAAGATTTTATTATATTGATATAATGCATAAAGTGGACATGTTGGAAGGATTATGGCGTGTAAAGTTGTTCTATATTTTAGAAAACAGTATTCTTAGAATTATGAGTTCTATATTCTTTATTTTGGAGTGAAATGAAATCTCTTTATTGCAAATTTCTCATGATCTAGGCATTAGCTTTGTAATTTTTCTGGTGCCACCTCTCCATCCTATACTCTAATATGCTTTGGTTTTTCTGAACGGGTGAGGAATTTGCGTGACGAGCATAGTTCAAGGGTTGGTTCACTCGATTGGAACAATCACATCCTTACCACCGGGGGAATGGACAGTTTGATCATAAACAATGATGTAAGAATAAGATCCAGCAATGTTGGAACATATAGGGAACGCTGTCAGGAGGTTTGTGAACTTTGTGGACTGAAATGGTCTGCATCGGGCCAGCAACTAGCAAGTGGGGGGAAGGACAGTCTCCTCTACATATGGCTTTTCTCTATGACCTCTACAAATTCTGCCAATCAGTGGATTCGCTGCCTAGAAGACCACAGGGCCGCTGTGAAAGCTCTTTCCTGGTGTCCTTTCCAGAGTAATCTGCTTGCCTCCGGTGGTGGTGTAGGAGACCAGTGCATAAAGTTTTGGAACACCAACACTGGATCACGCCTGAACTCAGTAAATACAGGTTCACAGGTCTGTTGCTTGCTTTGGTACAAACATGAACGTGAGCTTATGAGCTCTCATGGCTTCAATGATAACCAACTTACCCTATGGAAGTATCCTTCTATGGTCAAGATTATAGATCTTTATGGTCATACATCAAGAGTTCTTCGTATGGCTCAGGTGAGTTGGGTCATCAATAAATCATATGCTTTAGTCCTGTTCTTGTTTTATGAATAATAGGTTTTCTATTTTTTTCACTCCCCTTTCTTGATGGATGCATTTCAGAGTCCAGACGGGTGTACGGCTAAGAAGCACGGATACGGATACGGGACACGGATACGACACGACACGGACACGGCGACACGGCAAATCCAAAAAAATTAGGACACGGACACGGCGAATAGTATATATATATATATATATATATATATCAGCATTAATAATTAAAAAAAAAAACACTTATATGTTTAGGTTGGAATATATATATATATATATCACTGATATGTTAGTATATATATATATCAGCATCTTTAGGACACGGACACGGCGAATTGTGGCATCTTTAGGTTAGTATATATATATATCAGCATCTTTAGGGTAGTACAAAACAAAAAATAGAACATATCAGCATTAAAAATTTTAAATAAAAAAAAAATTAACATATCAGCATTAAAATTAAAAAAAAAAAAAAAAAAAAAATCCAGAAAAGTGTGTTTGAGCCGTGTCCGAGCTGTCTGAGCCGTGTCCGAAAATTAAAAAAATTCCAGACACGTTTTTTGGCGTGTCCGACACGTGTCGGACACGGATCCTTCGCCCATTTTGGAGTGTCCGTGCTTCCTAGGTGTACGGTTGCATCTGCAGCAGCGAATGAGACACTATTGTGGAACGTGCTTGGAACTCCTAAATTGGCCGTGAATGCTCCCAAAACGAAGCCAGAACCATTTGTTAATCTCACCCGCGTCAGGTGAAGAGTTTGTATCTGGAATGGGTGATTAAAAGTATTTTTCTTGGTACATGCTCCATTGGATTTGTGATGAAATTGGCTAAAAATTATTCAAGGGGAAATAAAACTAATAAAGAAATTTGCTAAAAATTAGCATATTTAAGGTATGATGAATGCTTATTATGTTCTTAATTTACACAAAATCTGCTGAGTTTTTAATAAAAAAATATGGATCATACTTTATTCTTTGCTTTTGATTTGAAGTTAAGGTTCCCATTTAAGAGCAACTACCAACCAGTGTATTAGCCCATATCTACAAGCCTTCATTTTTGAGGAGTCGTTGTCGTCATCATCGTTGCCTTTATTCTACAATCGGGATCGGCCACATGGATTCCTTTTCCACTCTTTTCTATCATAAGGTATATCTCCTACTAAACTTAATTTTTTAAAATCATTTCTTATCACTTCATTCCATGTTAGTTTTGGTTGCCCCTCGTTTTTCTGATTTGTTCTTTTATTGGCAAAAATGGTTTGATCCCATAGCTCAAACTTGAAGTAAAAATTACCTTTGAAAGTGTCCATTTTCTGTAATAGAGGATAATTATTTTCAGCCAAAGAGGCATTCTGGTCTTTTTAAGTCTTTCTAGCAGTTGAACTTCTTTCCCTCTCCGGGCATTGCATATCTCTATTCCTATCCCTTGTCAGTTATCTCTAACAGCGATTTTCATACGCACACACGCACATGCGCGCGCACACACACACACACATATATATCAGCTGCAATTTAAAACAGATTTTTTGCAGAAATGTCAAAGAGCTTAATGTGTTGATTTATAAAAGATCTAGAACTGAAAATTACATCACCTCAAATTCTGCGAAGATCGAATTGAATTGAAAAACCCTCATTCAAGTTTCAAAACTCTATTTTTGGGTGATTTTGATCTTTAACAGCAAGAGAATCTCACTTATATCCAGTCTATTCCAAAGTCTGCTGAAGCAAGTGATTGTGCCGAAAGTTTAGAAGCATTTCATCTTTATTATACTCTGATCAGAAGCCCTCTCTACAAGCTGTGAAATACTTCAAATCCTCTTCTCTGCAATTTCACATCTGCTGCAGATCTCTATCCTCTGACTGAAATAGTGTTTTTTTTTTTTTTTTTTTTTTTTTTTTTTTTTGTATAAGTGTTTTGTAAATCACTATTGACCTTTAGGGTTTCTTTAGCATATTTTAGGTGGTCTATTTTCTATGATTATGAATTTTCAGAAATTTATTGTTTATTTCTTCAACTGGTATTGATTCTGCACAACTATATCTTTTACATGATTAGATGATTTTTTAATTCATGGTCCTATGGGTTTCTTGGTTTGGATTTTCCTGTATAGTGGGATTCAACAGGAAGATTCAAAGAAACACACAATATATATTTATTTTTATTTGTTAAAATTTAGATCTATAACGGTATATTGTAGTAGTTTTTTCCTTATTCAGAGAAACACACTCAATAAGGTTCAGGACACACTCTTGGCTAAAGAATTGATATCATAATACCCTGCTTTGGGCTCTTCTTTTTCTGGACATGGCCCTTGGACATCATAATCAATAGGCCCCATAATCTCTTGAGACATGTGCAACCACATCTCTTAACTCTTCAGGTTGCAATTGAAGATACCTTGAAAGAAGAGGGGGATTCAAATATGTTTGACAATGAAGCAGTAGGTATAGCCATTTTAGAGCTCTCCTTTCTCAATTCCTCATTGGGAGGATCCACAACACTTCTCCCTTTTTCCTTTATAACTCCCTCGCACTCATTCAAATTATATCTAGGAGACAAATTCTCCTTCATTCTCCTTTTTTGTTTATACTTAGTAGTGGGCTTAGAAGAGCAAGATTTGGTAGAATGACCAAAAGATTCACAATCTAACATCTTTGGGGTTTCCTGGATCCTGGATTCACTGAACAAGGATCCTTGCTTTTAAGAACAAACCGCCTCCTCTAGTAGATAGTTATCAAGAGTCATTCTCATCCGTTCACCAATCCAAACCCACTAAGTCTAGGAGATATATTCCCCAAGTGGGTTTTCTTTCTTTCCTTTTTTTTTTTTTTTCCTTCTTGTTGCTAGACTCTCATTCTGATTTGTGGTGTTTTTATCTTCCTATCTGCTTTTTTTTTTGGTTGCATATGTAGTGATAGCTTCTTTTAGATCGATTGCTTTGTTGTTGACATGCGTGTGTTTGGTAATTTAACAGCCTTTGGAAAGGACTCTTGATGCTCCTAAGCTCTTAGATGACTTTAATTTGAATTTACTGGATTGGAGTAGCAGTAACATTGTCGCTACTCGCTGTTGGGAATTCAGTATATTTGTGGAATGCTGTCAATGGGTCTACTTCTAAACTTTAAAAAAAAGTTCAAAAGTAGACCCATTAGCAGCATTCCACAAATATAACTTCTTGTGACAGATGAAGAAATTGGACCTGTGACAAGTGTCAGATGGGCACCGGATGGAGTACATCTTGCTGTTGGTTTAAATAATTCCCACATCCAGCTGCGGGACTCTTCATCTCGTTGAATGGTAAGAGTTTTCTTTAAAAAGTGTTTTCTTTTTTTACATTTTATCGATCATTTATGCTTTGTTTTATTATTGTAAGTAATTAGATGATGCATGGTGAAAAGTTGGCATTCTATTTGAATGTTGTTCTGTGAAAAAAAGAAAGAAAAGGATGACACATTTTTTTAACTAGATGTAAGAAACTTCGGTGTTTGTTGTTATTGTTTTTTTTTTTATGTGTCCCCTTTTTTGGCAAGTAACATTATATTACTAATAATGAGATCATATATAATAAGATTCAAAACACGATCTAAGTGAAAGAAAATTTAAACCAGAGGAAAAAGGCTAACAATAAAGAAAATGCATACTCACACCCTGAGAGGTTAGTGGAAAAGAGGTCTTTGTTATTTCATGAACTCATGTTATCCATGATATTTAGGTGCTAAGGAAAGATTGGGCTTTTGAACGTTTCTCTTAAAAAAAAACTGCATTTTTTGTGGAAAAAGAAAAACTAAAAGAAAAAAGTATATTTACATGCAACGCAATGCGTCGTTTATATCCGATTTAACTTTTGATAAAGTTGGTAATTTCTTTTACCTTCTATTTAGTTTGGAAGAGAACTAAGTCAGGTATAGTGGTGAATTGCACGGTTGAATAAGGCATGTATCATTGAATACTTTATTATATTGATATAATGCATAAAGTGGACTTGTTTGGTGGATTATGCGGCTTGTAAAGTTGGCCTATATTTTAGAAAACAGTATTTGTAGAACTATGAGTTTTATATTCTTTATTTTGGAGTGAAATGAAATGTATTTATTGCAAATTGTCACATTTCTCGTGATCTAGGCATTAGCTTTGTGATTTTTCTGGTCCCCCCCCTCTCCATCTTATACTCGAATTTGCTTGGTTTTTCTGAACAGCTGAGGACTTTGTGAGACGGGCATAGTTCACTTGATTGGAAGAATCACATCCTGACAACCGGGGGAATGAACGGTTTGATCATAAACAACTATGTAAGAATACGATCCCACAATGTTGGAACATATAGGGGACACTGTGAAACCTCTTGACAGTGTCCCCTATATGTTCCAACATTGTGGCTGTCGTCAACTAGTATATTAGCCCCATATCTCCAAGCCTTCATTTTTGAGTCATCGTCATTGTCATCATCCATGTCTTTATCCTACAATCGGAAGCGACCACATGGATTCCTTTTCCACTATTTTCTGCTTGCCTCTGGTGGTGGTGTAGGAGACCAGTGCATAAAGTTTTGGAACACCAACACTGGATCACGCCTGAACTCAGTAAATACAGGTTCACAGGTCTGTTGCTTGCTTTGGAACAAACATGAACGTGAGCTAATGAGCTCTCATGGCTTCAATGATAACCAACTTACTCTATGGAAGTATCCTTCTATGGTCAAGATTATAGATCTTTATGGTCATACATCAAGAGTTCTTCATATGGCTCAGGTGAGTTGGGTCATCAATAAATCATATGCTTTAGTCCTGTTCTTGTTTTATGAATAATAGGTTTTCTATTTTGTTCACTCCCCTTTCTTGATGGATGCATTTCAGAGTCCAGATGGGGGTACAATTGCATCTGCAGCAGCGAATGAGACACTATTGTGGAACGTGCTTGGAACTCCTAAATTGGCTGTGAATGCTCCCAAAACGAAGCCAGAACCATTTGTTAATCTCGCACGCGTCAGGTGAAGAGTCTGTACCTGGAATGGGTGATTAAAAGCATTTTTCTTGGTACATGCTCCGTTGGATTTGTGACGAAATTGGCTAAAAATTATTCAAGGGGAAAAAAAACGAATAAAGAAGTTTGCATATTTAAGGTATGATGAAAGTTTATTCAGTTCTTAATGTACACAAAATCAGCCCAGTTTTTAATAAAAAAATATGGATCATACTTTATTCTTTGCTTTTGATATGAAGGTTCCCATTTAAGAGCAACTGCCAACCAATATATTAGCCCCATATCTACAAGCCTTCATTTTTAAGTCATCGTCATCGTCATCGTCATCATCCATGCCTTTATCCTACAATCGGGATCGACCACATGGATTCCTTTTCCACTCTTTTCTATCATAAGGTACATCTCCTACTAAACTTAATTTTTAAAAATCATTTCTTATCACTTCATTCCATGTTAGTTTTGGTTGCCCCTTGTTTTTCTGATTTGTTCTTTTATTGGCAAAAATGGTTTGATCCCATATATCAAACTTGAAGTAAAAATTACCTTTGAAAGAGTCCATTTTCTGTTATAGAGGATAATTATTTTCAGCCAAAGAGGCATTCTGGTCTTTTTAAGTCTTTCTAACAGTATATTGGCCCCATCAATTATTTTTGTTAGGTTTTAATATTTTTTTGTTTGTAAATATTTGATGACAACCAAATGGTCATGAAGTATATATATTTTACATCCAATAAAACGGAGCCTAAATGAAAATTTATTTTGTTTGATATCTAGAAGAGGACAAGTGATGGCCATGAAGTCTTCCATAGGGATTATGAAAATGCATGTGATTTTATTAAGTATGGCTGCTAGGCCAATGAGTTCCTAAGAATAAGCATTCAATTTTTTTTATTAAACGACTCTTACTTATGTTGATACTGAAATTATATTTTTGTTCTCCATCCTTTGTTTCGACATAAATTTTTTTTTTAGAGAATATTTTCCTTTTTCATATACTTTTTCAGTGTTTGGTAAAAGTTTACGTCGAGATTAAGGTTGAGTTCATTGGGCTGAGTATGTAAAATAATTTGTTGAAAATTGATTGATAAACTATTTTTGTTAAATTTTAATATTTTTTTTCTTCGTAAATATTTTACGACAACCAAACACTAGAAAATAAAAAATATATATTTTTTGAAAAATATTTTACATCCAAACAAGAGGAGCTCAATGTTAAAGAATTTATTGAGATATATACTTGTGTATTGTATATATCAGATTGATTGGTAACTATCTAATTCCCTTTTCATGAACAGCACCACTCATGTTGAAGCTCATAAAGCATCTTCATTACATAGAAAGTTCCAGAATCACTCGATAGGATATTGATTTAGATTAGTTTAAGACTTTGAATATTATATTGGCTTTCATTGTAATTAATAAAAAAAATATTTATCATTTGGAACAAGTTGCATTGATGTGAATCATTAAAAGAATTTTTGCTTATCATATATTCGTTTTTTGTTATGCTTGGCTGGAATTTTATTTTTGTTTGTGTAAGAAAAAATATTTATTATCTTTTCCTTTTTTAAAAAATGTATAAATTGTTGTTGAAGACAAGCGTAAACTTTGTTAAATTTATCTTTTCAACATATTGTAAAAAATAATCCAAGTATTTAGAGTAACCTTAGACATGATGATACATCAGAATCAAAATGCAATAATGATGATGATAGGTGCACTGATTTCATAATAAAATTCATTTGAAAAAAAAATTCTTCAGATTAGTTTTCTCTAATATCACAATTATTTAAATAAATTTTGTTTTTTAATTTTCATAAAGGTATTGTTTTTAAATTAATAAAAAAATGGTAATTGAAACTTCAAACCAACAAGTTATATATTCAAATAAAATTTAAAATCCAGTCTTTAAAATAAAAGAACTGATTTTTTTTTTTCATGAAACACCTAAATAATCAATTTCGGCGTGTAGTTATCGGGCCATCAAGCTTTTTATCATCCCAAGCTAGTTCTCAGGCCATTGTGGCCCAGCCCTCCAAACTGGTGATGGCGTTGGAGTCTAGTTTGGTCCAAAAACCTGATTGATGAAAAGATTGAGAGATTTTGAGAGATGAAATAACAAATAATAGATTTCAAGAAAAAAAACCAGAAATTGTGAAAAATGCACAAGGGTGTCTGCCCAATTTCAAAGACGTTTGTAGATTGCTAATTAGTTGTAGCAGAACATTGCTTATTAATTTGATATTTTATTAAAAAAAAATTACTCTCGAGAGTTAAGAAGTAGATTAATTTAATTATATGTTGTCAGTATCAAAAGGAACCACTGGTGTCACAATCTTCTCTCAAGTGTGATAAACATTTCAGCGTAAGAAAAATAATAATTAATCTAACACTATATTCGTTTCCGTGAAATTAAAGCTTTTGGAATTGAAAAAAAAAAAAAATTAGTTTAAATTTTAAATTATATTTTCTCCAATTTTAACTCAAGTAAGAAATGTTGGTTTTTGGCCAAGACACAAAATTACCAACTTTTTGCATAGGAACTAATAAATCTCTAAGTGCTCTTTGATCTTCGAAGGCCATTCAATTTGCATGTAAATTTTAACAGCCTCTCCATGAGTTAATTATTATTATTATTTTTTATTTTTTGTATGTCCGTCCGGAGCTGAAGTTTGAACTCCATCTAGAACATCCATGGCTGTAAAAAGGAACCCTCCAAACCGAAGTGGGACTAATTCCTAAGTCCTCGAGAAGCTCCGATATAAATGGAGGACAAAACTAATTTTATTATTATTATTAATATATATATAATTTTATTATTATTATTATATATATATATATATATATATATTTAAAGGGAAAAGACTTGACCATTCAGCGGTGGGTAGGTCATCCTTATTGACCGTTGACGTAGTCCAATCACAAATGTACATAGTATGTAATTACAAAATCAGAAAATTAATAAATAAAGAAATTAGTGAGAGTAATTGAATTTTATTATAAATAAGACCACATCAACCCGATAAACAGATAAGTCTTGTCTCTTTTAAATTACTGCATTTTTGGAGTATGAAACAAATACTAGCAAGGGGTGAATCTTAGAAAATTTGAAAGAGCTTCTTATAGAGCTATGTGCTGATTCCAGATGGGGTATTAAACTTACAATACTTCGAAAATAAGATCGATAATTAGGATGTATAGCCCTAACTTGTGTCTATATTAGTGTTTTGATCAAATATGTCTTGCCGCAACAATATCATAGGAAGCAGAACAAATCGATAGATATCAAGATAATAAAATTGAAGAGTAGGAGATATACATATTAATAAGATGAAGATATAGAATTATATTTAATATAATGATTTTAATACTATATTAATTCTATATTTAATGTTGTCATATCATTATAAACTTTTACATTATAAAATGGTTACATATGATGTATCCGATTATGATTAAGAAAATTTTCATCCCACTCTACTCTCCTTTACTCATTCTTACATACATCTGTATTTAAGTATTATATGAGTTTTTGTGCAATGAGACATATATAGACTTGGCCTGGCCTTTTTGTGGTGAGGAGATATTATTGCAAGTTGATTGAGTTGAATCTTGAAATTGACTAGTGCTGGCAACACCCACACGAAGAAGAAGAGGACTATCAACTTACTCTATCAAGTAGCTCTTTCTTTCTTACTTTACTATTATTGTTTTCATTTCTTAATTTTATTATTATGTTAACATTGTGTGGTTGAGATTATATTAGTGTTTTGCTCTTGTTCATATTGAGGTAGCATTCTTTTTGCAAAGTGATATTTATATGTTATTCATAGTTATTCAGTAATAAATTATTCATTATATATTAAACTAATTCATTGTGAATGAATAAATTTTGATGCATTGCTCTTAATGTTTTATAAAATATTTGGAAATTTCCATTACAAAGATTTTTCATTAAAACTTTAATTTCAACTGAGTGCTCATGTAGCAACAGTGCATTTACATGTGATACCTTAATGCAATAACCAAATAAAGTATACAATACTCGAGGTAATGTAAACCCAATACCCCCAATAAGTCTCAATTTGTCTTAATATACGAAACATGTGTAGTTTTTGAAAAGAAGAAGAAGAGGAAGACATGATTGTGCATTGGACGAGATACCACGTATTATATACTTTCTCCATTCGCCCATCCTTCCGTACCATTGTCAACTTAGAAAATCACAAACTAAACAGTTGACCTCTCTCCATCACTCTCGAAACATCCATCACCCTCCTCCATCCCTTAACAGTCCTACTGCATCAACTTCACTAGCTGTACAAACTATGTTTCAGCGCCCTAAAGATTGATCCTATACCTAAAGATGAAGATAGCAACATCAATTAAATTAATGATTCAATTAGCAAAACAACAAACTCTATAAGTAGGGTTTCAAAAGGTGGAACTCAGAAGAAATGCAGCCCTTCCAAGCACAATGGAAAGGGCATGAGAGTACATGTCAACCCCTCAAGGTGCTTAGACATATGAAGGATTCTCTTAAGACCCTTTCCAAATGAACCTAATTGCATAAAATACAAGAAGAATAGCCTCACCAAGGAGAAAATTTTCATTACGCATGTTGCACGGTGCAACGGGTACATTCAATCGTTCATTACCGCGTGTGTAATACTATTGGGATTTATATGCCCTGGCATAGCAAATTCCTGTTTGGATTAAAGTGACATATGTTCCTGACGTTTCTGAAATATTTATGTTTTATACAATTGGTGAATTCAATGTATTATATTTCGATTCATTATAGAATTGATAGTATTCATTTGATTACAAGAGATATATATATATATATATATATATATATATATATATATATATATATATATGTGATGGCAATCAATGCATGATATATAAATAGTAATCATAAATTGTTCATAGTCAGTAATTATGGATGGACTCATAATTAATTAAGAGTTGAACTGGATCCGCGTTAGGTTAAGATATATTGCGAGAGCCGTCGTATGCAATTGCTTCCTATCACCGTCATGGCATTTGACTCTTAAGTATGAGAAAAATATAAACTCTTTTATTAATTAATAATTACTTTGATTTGTTCGGCGGATTCTTCGGGATCCTTAGACCGACACTTTGGGTAGTTATGTAATTAATAGTTAGAGGGTTATATTTTCAATATTTGCATCATTGCTACTTGTATTTATTTTGTATTGATTATGGTTGATCACAAAGTAAATTCGAAGGCCTTCGTGTGTTTTTAGACAAAATGATTTATTATATATTTATTTATTTAAATTATTATTTTTGTCAAACAAATGTTTTATTGTGATCGAGCCAGAAATAATCAATGGTACCAAAATAAATATATTAATTAAGTAGTCGGATTGATGGCTTTATTTATCCGATAACTAATTAAGAATAGAGGGGTCAAAGTGCAATATTGACTTAGAGGTTATTTATTATTTAATTGGAGTTCAATTAATTTCTTTTAGTGGAGTAGAAATTAATTTATGAATTAATTGAATTGGGTTCATGAACCGGGCCAATTATTAATTCATTGTAGCTAATAAAATAATAGGCCCAATTGATTCTCACTCATAACCCAACTTGATATTGGAATCATATTAGATTTGAGACATATGAATTAGAGATTGAGAATGATTTGTTGTTTCATTTTCTTTATTTTTATGTTGCCTATAAATATACATGGTCTATGTATATTTTGGGGGTGATTTTTGGAAAGAATGAAAAAGGAATAAATTTTCTCTCTCTAGAAAATTAGGGTTAGTGTTCTCATTTAATGGAGGCTCCCACAAGCCTAGTTTTCCAAGGTCATTCATGGAGGCTTATGAGTGATTCCTAAAGGCAAGACCATTACCAAGAAGATGGAGATCCATGGGAAAGGTGTCTAGTAAAAGGGATCTACAATAAGTGAGAACATTCACTTTAGAGGAGAGATCTAAGGTTTACTCAAACCTTGATGTAAGTATTCAATCTTTTAATTGAATGATACATCATGTTTTATTTTTACATAAAACTTGTCTCCATGTGATGAATCAAGATCTATGAATTAAAATTCCTCGAAAAGTTTTTAAATATTGCACGTTTCCCAACAAATACATGTACACGGACAGTCCAAATGCTCTCGCTGCACTGAATCTTTTCTCCTCACGAAGCAGATAGGAGAGAAAACTTTTCTCGCTGAGCACAAAATTGGCATTCTTTCTCTTTTGAATTATGGTGTCTACTCAAAATTGTTTTAATTTTCAATTCTATTATTAAAATCTACACAAAGAATAACAATATGGTTAAATTAGAAAAGCTATTGGAACATAGGTTAACCTTATGGCTAGTTTGATGTGGTGGAATTGGAATGGAATGGGAATAGAGGTGGGAATGGAATAGAGTGGGAATTATGATTCCCATTCTCTTGTTTGATTGCAAACATAGAATGGAATTTATAAAAGTAAAATAACAATTTCCATTTATTTGTT